AGACAGTGTAGCCAGCAGAACTGTACCTTTGGAGCACCACACAGCACAGATGCTGGGGGTGGGCCATTTATTCAGTCCCTGGTCAGCTTGGTCTCTTCTTCAAGCACCAACAAAGCTTCTACCCGGAGTATAGGACTCTGGTAGCCTGAGAGGGTAGATCAGCAATGTTTTTTTCTATCCTTTTTCAAGTTGATGTATTTTGTCCCAACACAGATGGTAATGCCTGGATTTTCAGAACCCATTATTCTCACCAGCAGTTCATCGTGGAGGGCCATGGAAGAGGTGTTCTGTATGGAGCAGGGTCCTGATGGAGCGGGCTGTCAGGGGGACCATGGCAGCAGCCTGTCAACAAAGGAAGGCTTTTTTGTATCCTGTCACAAAGACACTTGTTTTCTGTGTTCAGTGTTGATTTTGCATAACCATGGTTTGTCATATCCAGCCCTGCTTTCTTCCCAGCAGTGGCTTTGCTAAAGCTCTGCCCGTCCATCATGTTCTCTCATAACATGTTTGCACAACACTCTGCTGATATTTCCTCATTCTCTTTCTCCCTGCCTTGACAAGTGATATAATGTAAATCTCCCAGTTACAATACAAATAAATACCAAATAACTGCTGTTTCATTCTTGGTTTTCAGATAGTGATCAAGAGTAGATGAACAACTGCCCAGTAAAAAACAAAAGCATAAAAAATAAGTGGAGTTATGAGATACATGGGTAACTAACTTCAGCAGTGACCTTTATAGAGCCTGAGAAATAAGGGTGAGAGATCTGCTTGAGGAGTTCACAGCTTGTCCTATAATCTGTTGTCAGAGCCACCAGATCATTTTTTATTTGGTTCTCCCAAAACTTTGGTTTTGTCTCTTTTTTTAAGAAACATTATCATGAAATGCAAAACAAAAATAAATTCTATAACACTTTTAGCTATTAATCACAGAAGTTAAGCTGTTTTTCACTGTGTATAAGAAAATGTCTTTCAAGCCTGAGCAAAACTGTCCTGCTACGTAAGATTACAGTAGTTAAATGTTTATTATACCTTGCTGATGTTGCGAGATCGTTCAGAATAGAAAAGCCTGGGTGTAAGCCCAACATGAGGTTCTCCTCTTACTTCAGACTTGCAGGACAGCTTAGTAATAGGATTTTATCTAGTTTTTGAAGCAGGTATTTTCCTTTAAAATTATCTAGATTTTTCTTTTTAATTGAATATTTCCCCTGGAATTTTACAAATTAAGATTAAAACCAATTTACCTTTCTCTCCCACTCACCCGTTTTCCACAGTCCTAAAAAATCACTCACAGATGAAGCCTTATGAAAAGAGAGAAGAAGATTTTTGGGGCGGGAGTGAGAATGGAAGGGTTGGGAGATACAAAGCCACAGTTGGCAATCCTGCTCTCTCACATTTTATAAGACAGTAAAGTCTGCATATGGCAGATGCTCTTTTTATAAGGGGAAAGAAACCCCTTGTAATTTAAGTCAGGATCTCTGGGACTCTGCTGGGTGTGTTTTCAGAAATTCTTCTGGAAAGCATGTTTTAGTTTTGAAAACAAGCAAGTCACTTTGCAGATTTTTAGAATGTGGAATTAAATATAAAAATCAGAATGCTATATTAAACAGTGTCATGTAATAAATGCAGGATTGTTTGCAGGTGCTGGCTCTTTAACTAGCAAAGAGATGCAAACGTGTTTCTTTTTAGCATGCTGCCAGGCCCCACTCTGCAGGATGAAATGGTATTAGAGGCTGTTCTGACCTCAGAAGACCAATTTTTTGCTATTTGCTGGCATCACTTACTGTGTCTGATTTCATTTCCAGAGAAGGTGTGTATTCAGACCAGTGCAAGGTTAGACGTCCCCTTCTGCTCCATGGTAGAGGGAGGATTAGCGCTTCGGCACCACTGAGCTTTGGGAAAAGACAGCAGCACTTAGAAACCACAAAAGAGGCTTCAGAGCTGATCCTTTGGGGTTGTGTACACCAGGGCCGGAAGGACATGATGGCCTTCGGGCCTCCTAATTAATATTGCCAGAGAACCTCCCTATTGCATGTCAGATAAAGGACAAAGCGAGGTAGAGCATTATGGAACATAGAAAAACCTACCCTTTTAATTTGTTTTGAGTTTGCAATCAGAATAGTAGATAAGAAAGAGTCATTTGGATGGGGCAGTGTAAAGCTGAGCATGGTCTGGATAAATCTTTTACCATATAAGTTGATTTCTTAACTGATGATATGGTAAGGTATTTCAGTATCTGGATGAACCCTGGATGCACAGGACAAGAGGACAGTGATGCTGAGACAAGGATCCTGAAGGGCAAAGTCAATCCTAGTCTTGTGAAGGGTGACCAATACATGCAGTGTTGGTAGGGAAGAGGAAAGTCTGTTTTGTCCTTGGCATTTTTGATGATGAGTTATGTAAACTTCTCTGAGGTGTGAGCCAAGAGCCAGGATAATGTCAGGGGAACTGGCTGTAGTAGAGAAGTAATCTTTTTTTTTTTTTTTTTTTTTTTTATAGAAATTAGAGCTATTAAAAAAAATCATAATAAAATAAAAATAAAGGGAGGCAAAAAATTGGTGTGCAAAATTGGGTTGAGGTAGACCCTGCAGAAGAGTTCCTAGGGAGAGTCAGGACGAGGTAGAAATGTGCAGGCCATGGTGGGGAACAGGATGCCAAGTAGGAGGGACGTTCACCACTGAACTAACAGCTGGTTAAGAGATTGGGCACCTGAGGCTTGTTGAGTATCAGAACTGGAAAGGCCAGGATAGGACCCCAGCACCCAGGGAAGGCATTAGAAATGCTTCAGCAAAGGCACATTTGGTGAAATGTCATGAATTGAAATTAGCACACAGAGGGGCACAGGGTAGTATCATTCTTTTTATTTAGCAAGAATATTAATTCATCAGCATTTATTCTTGTTCTGCCTAAAGAAATAAGTTAAAATGGCAGCATTTCAATGAACAAGACAAAATCTCCCCTCCTTTGCAATCAGAAATACTAAAAAAGAATTTTTAAAAATAGTCATAAAACTGAAAAGGATTTTGACAGAAGGTTAGTTTTTGCTCAGATGTTTTAACTGTCATTTTTGTTTTCAATTTTCCTCAACAGGAATTTTGAGAAATATTTTAAATGAGTGGTTTGGGGGGGGGAATGTTCCTCTGACAAGAAATAAAAGGTGGTGACTGAAAGGAAGCTGGATTTTTTTTCTCTGAAAAAGTTCTGTTAGTCTTGCAGGCATTAAAGCACAGTGTTTTGCTTGAGGATATTAGAATGTGCTTATTCTAGGAAGGGAACACTGCCAAAGACCTGGAAAAAAGACACAAGGCTGAGGAAGAAAGCCAAGAGGATGTGGGTAGTGCAGGTGGGTAACAGAGAAGAAGGTGTGAAAAATCTCTTTGTGGTGAGAGGAAAAAAGAAAATGGAGATTACAGCTGCCGACAGTCTTGTCATCGTTTGCTTTGTAGAAGTCAGCTGGAGCTGCAGGGAGAAGGAGGCTGGTGGAGCACGTTGCACCTTCAAAAGGCGCGTGGGAGTGGGTGCGGACGGCAGCTAGCACGGCTGGGGGGAGGCAGCCTGTGCCAGCACAGGGAGAACGTGACACCGCGCCGTTACGCTTCCTCCAGAGATGCTCAGCAGCGTAGGGCTAGAGGCAACTGTAAGCCTAGTTTAGCACAAGCATGCATGTGAATTACTTCGTGAATTCGAGTAACTTTCCAGACTAACACAGCAATCTACCTTGCTACTGTTTCGTGGGCAGTAAATGCCCAGGAGGCTGCAGACCTTCCCATAGCCAAAACTGAAACATGGTCTGAATTGCTGGGTGCTGCTCAGGGTTGTCACTTGTTCGAGGTAAGTGTCACCTGGGATCCAGCTGCTGCTTAAATCAGCTACCACCTCGGTCAGGCCACTTTGCGTTTTGCTATTTATAACCAGAACTCTGTGCGGATGTCAGGCACGCATGTTTCCACCAGCTCCTTCTCTCTTCAGCTCCACGCTGATCCGACTGGGCAGTGCACGTGTCTGAGGTTACTGCCTGCTCTGATACCCGCTCAGTAACTCTGGAGAACCAAGTGACTTAAGCCTAAAGCATTTTTACTACATTTCACTGCAAATTTCATTTCTTTATGATCATTGGTTACTAATGTTTTTTGTCAGGCTGTCTATTCTAAATAGAAGCTCAAAGCCTTTTACGCTGGCTAAGGAAGTAATGATTTTCTCTGTAAAGAATCCTGTGGTTTCCTACAGCAGGAACTTTTATCAGAATAAAATCAGAAGCAGCTAATGGTAGCTGCAGGATTTGTATCAAGCATGTGAGCTGGGATTGAAAGCAGCATTGGTTTCTTCTTTAGCTTTGAATTTTTTCCTGGTTCAGTGGATTCTTTTTTCCATTTACTAGATTCATTTGGATTTTCAATATGTAGCATTAGTCTGAAGAGAATTAATTTCCTTTTAGAGTTATTCTAAACTGGAAAGTCCCTAAGTGCATTTGCAATATTTCTGTGTAGCACTGGTATTTTTGCCTGGCAGGACTCCCTCCACCCGAGGCGAAATCTTGCAGCCCCCTACGCATTTCACACTGTACCTTATGGAGGGGAGGGCAAAGCAGAAGACATTTTAAATTGAGAGGTGAATTCTTGCACGGTCGCTGCAAAAGCCTCGTCTCGTGGCAAGAATCCTGCCCAAACGGAGGGATGCCAGGAAGCAGGAGAAGGGCTGTGACCGACCATTGCTCCTCTGCCCCACATGGTCTGGGAACCGACTCCCCCCAGACCCAGTTCTGCTCTGGATAGCTCGGGCTGGAGAGCTCCCATTTCCCATAGGTCTGCAAGAGTCTTGGCAGTTAAACCTTTCTTATGTTTCTTTCTTCCTTTCCTGCGGTGATAAAGGGAAGCTTCCAGTGACTGCATGTGGTGCCTTCGAAGAAGAGGAATTTTGCCTTATTTAGACACATTGATATTAATGTCTGTGAAATAGTTGGGTCGTTCTCTGTAATTTTCCTTTCTGCTACTGTCTTCCAGGTGCACACGTTCAGGGGCCCGCACTGGTGTGAATACTGCGCCAACTTTATGTGGGGCCTCATTGCTCAGGGAGTAAAATGTGCAGGTAACAGTCATTCAGTCTTCTTTTCCTAAGACAGTCCTAATGTTGTGACTATTTAATGTGCTGCCTGCTCCACTGTAACCCCATGTGGCAAGGGTCCGATCTGGCCCCTGTTAAAATCACAGAAGTGTATCCACTCTACAGCTGATGGTTTCAGGTACCTGTTTCAGTAACGTCACTGCAGTGATGCAAAGCACCTTGAGTGTTCATGGAGGGGAAATGATTATCATCATTAAGGGATTAATTTTTGCCCCCTTTTAGAAAGGAGGAGAAAATAGGTGGATGCATTGTTAGCTTTGTTTCTTTTCTACCATTTGTATGTATTGGTAGGTGTGAGAAACTCACTTGAGGATCTCAGTGTGCAAGGTGAGCATTAGCAACTTTCAGGTTGCTGCTGTGAAACAGGCATTCAGGTTAATCGTATGTATAAGCCAGCAGACTCCCAGCTAAGTCATGTCTCCTACTTGCAAGCTGAAAAGTTAAGAAAAGGGATGATGAATAAGGGATGCATACTGAAATGTTACATAAACATTCAGGTGCTGGTAGAAATGTATTACACGCATGGGTGTCACTGCAGGCATTTCTGGGATAAAGCCTCTCTGAAGTATAACAATTTGACAGTTCTATTGTTATGATTCTTCTGAAAAGAAAGAATGGTCAGCTTTTCTCAAAGGAAAAAAAAAGGATTAAAGTGATCAAAATAGTTTACTGTATTTAAAAAGTATTTTATGACATCCTAGCAAGCAACCACATTTATAAAAACGGTGCAAAGAAATGTTGATGTATGAAGACCTGCGTATGTTACCCTGGAAACTGAATTTTCAAGCTAATTTAAGAAAATCTGCTCTGTCTAAAGCTTTCTGAAGCCTTGTCTCAAGCAAATAAGAGGGCTTTTTATCACAGAACTGCAAAATAATGTAAAACTTAAAATAATTTACAGCCAAATAGGATTGAAATATTTTTAAATCCTTCCCGGGTAATTATTTGAATGCAATAGTCCGTTGTTATCAATACACTCTGCACTGTCCAGAATGTATTAGAGACTGCAGCTCTGTTTTAAGAAATTATTATGTAAAAATGGCGTTTCCTTTCTCCATATTTTCCCCTGCTAAGTATTTAGGGTTGCAGCCATATCCTTCACTTATGAATGAAAATACTATTTTTTACTGCTGTTGATTTTGCACAGTGTACAGTGCTAGAAGAGAAGGAGTAAGCCTAATTTTGTTCTTGAATTGTTTTCTGGTTAAAGTAGTAATTTTTTGATGACACATGAGCCAGTAAGTCTGCCATATTTCTTCCTCACCTGAAGTAGATTTCTCAGTTTCGGCATCTAGGAGAAATATCAAAAATTTCTCAGATTTATGTTAAATAACTTTGATCCAGAAAATCAATAAAAGCAAACAGTATGAAGGCTTGCAATGCTGCATGGCACTGTGGAATGAACAAATAATATTTTTTTTATAATTAAACCCAAAGTGCTTATGATTTAATACTGCCTTTTTTAAAAAAAAAAAAAAAACTAAAGTAGAGCTGATTTTCTGGGTTTATGCAGATTTTTCTATATTATGAATTTCCAAAAGCTTCCAAAGTCTGCTTTTCTTTCCTCCTTACAAGGATGGTAATAAGTACTGCATGTCTCATTTTTTCCTTCTTGCAGTGTAGAGGAGCATATGTGTATTAGATGACTTCATAGGTTTAGAAACTATAATTAGGGCTTTCTATCTTGTGTAAGGTTTCGTATTGCTGTTGGTAGCTTCCAGTAATTTCTGGGATCTTATTTATATTTTAAAATCCCATGTTGTATGACCACACTTGCATGCTAAAGTGTCAGCAAAGCACTGGGGCAGAGGGAGGCTGAGGTTTTTCAGGCCATGCTCAAGGTCACTGGGCACAACCAGGTGAGCTGGTGATGTGCAGCATCGTCAGCCAGAGCACGAGGAGGAGCTGGCGAGGAGCTGTGGGGTGGCAAGGCTGCCGAGCAGCACTTCCTCAGCCTGGCAGGTCTAGTTGCTGCAATGTGTCTTGCGTGGCTTGCTTGGGGTTGAGGAGGAGGAGAGTGGGGTTTTCCCAAGGACATGACTTGCAGCCGACCCACCTTGCTTGTCCTCTCCTCACCACAAGGCTAGCTGTTAGCAACTAGCCAACCTCAGCAATAGCAGACAGAGAACTAGGGGCTTCCCAGGTGATTTTATTCTCATAAATTTCATAGAAATCAGCATCTGGGTGAAGCAGAGGGACTCCAGGCAGAGTCCCATGGACACAGCAGGACAGGCTCAGCAGTTCCCCAGTCTGCCTTGTCTGCACCTCACCCTCAGCAGTGTCTACCTGCTCCCGTCAGCTGAGGCTGTACAGGCCATCGGAGCCAGAAGCTGTACAGATCGGGGCATTCGGAGGAAGGTCAGAAGTGCACAGATACATAGCGAGGACCTGTGTAAGCAGTGTTAACTTACTAGTGTGGAAGAGCTCAGGCTTGAGTGCCATGAGTTTATATGGGTCTAAAAAAAAATCATTTTGCTTCTGAATTGAGCCATTTTAATATGGAAACAATGAGGCACAGTAAACAAGGAGCCACATGAGGCCATTGCTTTTCAGAGAGGGTTCATACTTCAGAAAAATCACAGCTTTTAGCAGGAGGCAGCCCACTTGCATTCAAATGGGGCTCAATGCCACTCCAGGGAAATCCACAAAATCTGTTTGGTAGTCTGTATAATCATTTTATTGGAAATACCTATGAGCATAACTGCACTGATCATATGTAATTTGATACTTTTTAAAGCATTTGCTTTTTATAGCAAGCAAGAGGACTCTTTGCTGTACAGAAGTCCTAAGTTTAACAAATACAAATGGATTACTGCATGGGCTACTCTCATCCATTTAAAATCTCATCTCTGCAGAAAAACAAAAACATGCAAGAAGATAAGTGTGGGATAGTACAAGACTGGACAACAAAGATAAATGTCACCCATTTCAGAAAGGAAAAGGAGCTGGAGGAAGAAGTGGAGCTTATTTCTGATGGTTGATAGATTAGTTTGTTACACAAACTAAGCCGATTCTTTGAAAAATAATAAGCCAGAACTAAACATTCATTACAGTACACATGCCATAGCAACCAGCAAGGATGCCTTAGCAACTTCAACTGCCTTGACTCATGCTTTGTTGCAGTCCGTCATGACTGAATGTGTCCCTCTGCTAAAATACAGCCTTGAGTGCATTCAGTATCTTATCAGGTACAGTCCTGTATGATTAACCCCTGGGAGGTGGATTCTCCCTAGCTTATCCTTGTTTGGGTTTTATGGCAGACAAAGAAGGAGGAGTACGTCTTTTCCTTCCATAAAGATGAGAGGTAAATGTAGGCACCGTGTTTGCCACCTGAAGGGTGGTTATTTGTTGAAGTAAGATGTTGGCTGTCATCTTGACTACAAAGGTTTTGGGATTAATGCAAGCCACCAAACTTGCAAAGATTTTATTGTCTTCCAAAATTAAGATTTAGGGTGATGTACAGGATTTAAATCCTGTAGGAGATTAATTTGTGGACTTGGTCTGACTCCTGCTGGAGGTATATCCAGCAGAACAGGAATAAATTATTTTTCCTTCTGTGTTATTCTCTCAAATTTGATCTTTATTTCATCAACTTCTTTAAAGACAGATTTGCTTCCTCAGAGTGAATCTTCATAATAGGCATCTGCCCTACTGCCTCAGAGAGTTGTGCTTCCAATTTTTGCATCCTAGCCACAGGCCCTTAAAATTTTTGTGAGATAAAGACTCATCTGTATGCAAGGAATCTTCCTTTTCTGATGGCATGCTCTGTCTCCAGCATGCTTTCCTGCAGGCTTTTGCCATAAGTAGAAATGGCTGAAGAAGTGTTTGAAATTATAATGCCACCAGCTTGCGTAAATATTGAAGCTCAGCAGAAGCTAATGAAGACATAAGAGTTTACCTCACCTCAAAATCCAATGCATGATCTTACAAAAATGTATTCTCAATTACATTCCTCCTATGTAAGGCTTCTCCGTAATCGCAGGGTTCATCCTGTTGCCCAGAATGTGTTCAGGAGAGAAACTATAACAATATCCAAAGAAAATTTGCAGATACGCACCAGAGACTTCATTTTATGAATGGTACAAACATGTAATACCCAGTAGCATTAACAGAGAATAGTGTGTTCTCAGAGACTAGATCATGGCATTAATGGTGCTGTTAGTGTACTACCCAAGTAGACTTGTAGACAGGCAGACTAGTAGACTTGTCAAGTTTCTGCCTGTGTCCTGTCTCCTTCCCCAGCCTGTCAGAACTGTTTCAGTTACTGTATAATCTCCTCTTTGCTCTGTGCCCTTTTGCTTGTTGTTCTTAACAAATAAGTTATTTAATCTGAAGATTTTTTTTTTGAACAGGCTAGTTTAAGAGCATTAATTAGCTTATCTTAAAGGGAAAATAATTTTTTTTACTGAATTTCACTGGATGCTTTTGATAGTATTTTGGGCTGCTCCTTTTAACACCAGGCAGCACCACCCTCTGAGGCTGTACGTGAAGCACCATTTCTGCTGCCTTGATAGATTAAGATTTGCTCTGAACTATATCAGCCTGCCACCCATGTAGCAGTTGCCTGTCCTTTGCTTTCCTTTGAGTAGGTAACTTCTCTCTGAAGAACTGATAGAAATAAACTTGCAGCTGAACTATCAGTGGAGGGGCCACCAGCTGCCACAGGCTGAGCCCAAGCAGTATTGCTGACAGCCCTGACTGCAGTAAGCCCCAGGAGTTCATTTTCAGAAAAGTTAAAGTACAGTCTCAAAGCAGGATTGTTTTGTAAATTACTGCTTAAGTGTTTAATTTCCCCATTTCATCCATTTATTTCTCCAGCAACTGCAAAATATACAACTGCCTCATTTTCTTTGCTGTTTTGTTTTGTTTTGCTTTGCTATTAAATCCCTTGCATCAGACAGCCCTGTGTTGCTCCATTGGTGTGTAAGGATGGAGACCACGTTGGAGCCTGCCCACCCTCAGGC